TGGTTAATTAGAGAGAAACCTTTATAAAAATATTTTGGAATTAGTTCATTTTGAAGTTTAAACATAAATAACAAGTTATGGTATATATTTAGTTCGTATACGTTTAGCGCATTAATTTCCTTGAGTAACGGCTTGGCACTTTCGTACCTATCTGCGCCCAAAACTAATCGACTTGCTTGCTTTTGTTTAGTATAAATATTTTTTAGGAAAGATGAATGATTGTTTGCCCAGGCAATATTACAATAGTTAATATGACTATGTATAAATGAAAAGTATAAGTTTTTTAAACATATTTTATTCAAAAGATGTTTTGTCCTGTACATAATCCCCACAGTCTTTGAAACTTTGTTCTCGACTAACTTTATTTGGCTTTTCCAATTTAAATGTTCATCGAAATTTATTCCTAGTATTTTCATTGAAAAAACTCTTTTTATTTTAATATTGTTAATTGTTAGTTCTGGAAGTTTAAGTGGAAGGTTCTCGGATTGAGATGGTTTAGCAAACAAAATATATTTAGTTTTTTCAATATTTAATGATAGTTTATTTGCTATAAACCACTCATTAAGATATATTAGTTCAGCGTTTACATAATAAAAAATATTTATTCATAAATTAAAAAAAAAATATTTATTAATTTATCTTCATAAATTAATAAATATTTCTTACAAGTAGGAGCTTTACCTCATAGCTTTTAAATAGAATTTACTAGTAAATGAAAAATTACTTCTATGATCTTTAAGCGGCCGTAACTACAAATAATACACTTACTTTTAATACACCAATTTGTATTTCACATGATAAACGCATGCGATACTTATAAATGCTTTTACGTGTTCAATATTTGGACACTAGTTTTTCACATTAAAAGCAATATTTTTTTTTTAGTAGTATTTATTTTGCTGTTCAGTAAAATAAATTTCATACTAGTTTTACTTTAAAAAAATATAAATAAATTAAACTATTAAAAATTAGACTCGGAGTCAAAGAAGATATGACTAATGCAATACCACCTAATTTTTGCATTGAGCCCCTTTAAAGAATAAATATTGTCAAGTTCCAATTTAAATACTCAAAGATTCAAAATATATAAACCAATACATAAATAACTAAATGAATAAATGTACAATTACTTTCTTTAATGCATAAAAAGTTTTTAGAAATAACTCATCAGATTTATTATTATTAGGCGCGGATGCAGCATTTTTTGATGTTTGAGATACCTAACTTCAGGCATAGAGCAAACTTCAAAAGTTTATATGTTTATGCTTATATCAAATAAGGACGCTTTCCAAAAACTGCAATGATTAGAGCCTGGGAACAAAAACGCCCTTAAGTTTTAGATACACCTGCCCAAAACGTGAAAGTAATAAGTTGATATAAGATTTTTTCTACTATAATCGACCAAGTTTATATTCATTAATAAATTTTAAAACTCACATAATATTCTCTTAGCGTTCAACAATTATGACCTAATAAAATTTGCAAAAAGTTTTTGAACGCTAAACTTAAAAACCCACTCTTGTCCCAAACACTTCACAACTCTTCAGTAAATTTTCCCCTGTTACTTTTCTCACACTTCTCTCCAATGCAAAGCAAAGACCTTAACATTGTCTTTTGTGCATAGGATAATTTTGCATTTTGATTAATCTTTCTTGACCTGAGCCAATATAATTGAAGATAAACTTTTCCCAGTGTGGGTAGTCTCAGCAAAATTTAAAATGAAAGAAAAAGTCTTAACATATTTGTTTCAAAAATTTTTTACCTAAAAAAAACCTTTTTAATTCATTAATTTAAGTAAACCTTAAAGTATTACCTGTTTGGTGCAAATAAATGTAGTGGATGCTGAAGTAAGTAAATATGAATTGTTCTTTCACACCTATTAGTTTTTTGTGGAGCTAAACTTATGTTTCTTTATGCACCTAAGGTTCCTGGTTGACAACCCCTGCTAGTATTAGGAGAGATATATTTCATTGAAGGAGTACTTCTGCAACGTGTATTTGTTAAGCAGCTATCCTCGTTTCTTTTTCTTACAGTACTCCAACCATTTCTAGTACTTGGAGATTTACGAGGAAACCCATCATCATCATCGGCCATTTATACATTTAAAATTTTTTTTATATCTGAAAAGTATATTTAAAGGGTCAGATAATGTTTTACATAAAAGCAAATACTTGAGTAGACCATTAATGCCGCTTAAACAATAAAAAAATATTGCAAAAACAACATACTTAAATGAATCAAGGCATCTTAATTTACTCATCCAAGATATAACATTTCAATTTTTGTATAAAAATCTCATTTTATGTCTTAATTAAATCACATTTGGTTATTTCTTATACTTTTTTTTATGGATTTTTTAATAAAAATATAAATTATTTTTTTAAAGCATATAAAATAATGATGCATACAATAATGATTCCTGCAGACATTTTTAACATCAAATGAAGAATCTAGCAGTAGTAAATGACAGAGCTGAGCACCTCAACATAGAGACCTTTAAATTTTTTTGTTGTGTTCTGAGACCAAATACGGATGATTTAGATGTGCATTCAAAAATTTTTTAATCAGGTTAAAAGTGGGACACCCTACAAAGTGTTTAGTGTGTTCCCCTCGTTTTTTTCCCATATATAATTCTACATGCATGTTTTCGAACATTACGTATTTTTTATAATTTTATAGGCTACGTGTTACCCAGTGTAATATTGGCATAATTAATAAAAGAATTAGTTAAAGAGCTTAAATAAATACCGGTACTCATGAGTTACGGTATTTACCAAATTGTTTTTTTAATCATATTATTTATATGTTTGGTTATTTATATATTTGATTATTGAAAACGCAATATCATGTTTGTCAAAACTATTGTAAGTAAAAAAAAACTTAAAAAAATAACTTAAGTCACGCGTGTGGGTTTGTTTTTTAAAAGATTTTTTAAAAGTAAGTACAACTTTTAATGCTTTAAAATTTTTATTTACCTTTTAAAAAAAAGTCAATTTAAAAGTTAAAATAACTTACTTTAAACAATTACTACATTTTCAAGTCTATTTACTTAATTTTTATTTAATTATTAGAGAATGTAACTTTGTTACCAACAATTTTAATCCAGATCTAGAGAACCTAAACATCAATTCATTTCTTTTTTTTTTAAGTTTTGTTTTTTGTTTTTACAACAAATACTAAGTCTATAGTCTATTTAATGTACATATATATATATTTAATATATATATATATATATATATATATATATATATATATATATATATATATATATATATATATATATATATATATATATATATATATATATATATATATATATATATATATATATACATATGTATATATATATACATATGTATATATATATACATATGTATATATATATACATATGTATATATGACGATGATCATTATGGAGCCGATCATGATGATGAATACGATAATGCATATAATAATAAATAAAATGATTTTACTTGTATTTTAGATTTATATAAATAAAAAATCTGGGTAAGGTTTCATTTGTTTATGAGTATTAACATAATGTGTTTAGCGTTTTACTCTTCTTTACGGTGCTTATTTAAAACTAATTAAATAAAAGAAAAGTTTGGTTCGTTTATCAGTATTTCTTTTATTTATTCTTACTTTAATATGCGCCGTAAAATAAAGTTAAACGTAGCGACGTTTATAACGAAAGGTTTAGATGGAGTTAAAATAGCGTTTAAAACGAATTATTTAAATATGGCTTATATTTAACATTCGATTGACCTACGTTCTAAATCATAACTAAACTAAATCTAAACATTTAGAACGAACATTAACTAAACGTTTATTAAATGTTCGAATGCCCGCTGGGTTATGTTATAATAAAAGAAAGAAATTCGTGTTGATATTTATTTAATTTTTTGTTTGTATATATAAGGATTATATACCTGTGACATATGTGATACGAAATGAATATATTACAATTAATTATATACTAGCTATCAGGACCCGTAAAATATGGGTCTTTTGGATATCGATGCTCACTTTATCCGCGTGCTTACAGCTCATTATAACTCTTATCTGGCTTATAAGGCAAGAAAATCTTAATCAAATGAAAACATCTTTCTAAATGATAATTTTTAATGGTGACTCTCGAATCCATAAGGATAGGGGACAGACGCTTTTTTTAAGAAAATATTTATACCCACTCCAAGCTTACTAAGCCACACCAACCCTCATTTGTTAATTTTTATTTATCAAGTCTCCTAAAATATAACAATTAAAAATCGGCATTTTCCCTTAAATTCTAAAATATTTTATTTAAAACTGAGAAAACAGAAACTTTCAGCGTAGAATCAGTTTTAAAACTCATCGACCTAGTAAATCTGGATTTGTCGAAAATGTGTTTTATTTCTCACTAAAGTACAAAACTTATATTAGCATTTCAAATCTTATTTAAATTGAAACAGATTTTTAAAAATGTTTATTTGACATTAAGCCGTGTTATAACTAAGTTGCGTTATGGTGCTTTGTAACAAGTATTAGTTGAAATTTTATATTCAACTTATATATATATATATTTTTTTTCCAGAAAAATATGAACAAGGTAAATTTATATTGAATATATTACTGAATATATTATATATTATATATTACTGAATATATTATAAATTTATATTGAATATATTAATTTATTTTGAATATAATATTATTTATATTGAATATATTACTGGTAGGACTTCCAGAAGATCACATGATCTTATGATGAAGCCCTTTACAATCTATATAACGAATTAAAAGGTAGAAAATTTACAAATATTAAAAATTACATAAGCGTTAGAATATTCTTCAAATGTTAAGCAAGTTTTAAAATAATGTTTTATAATATGGATATATAACATTTTCAATATTGAACAAATTATAATATAAAGTATTCAGCATATATTGTTTAAATAATATTCATCACACAGTCGACAAACGGTAAACGATCAAGGACTTCTTCATTTATTGTCAATGAATTAAAATTTGTTGGTGTAATAAGCTTTCTCTGCGCCACCAAAAATCTTTTCCACAATAGATTCATTATCGTTTACAAACCACTGCTCAGGTATTTTAATACGTCCTCGCAAAGGATCTTCAGGCTTAATAGTTAAAGTTCCACTTTCAAGCTTTAGAAGCCATTGAGAAAATTCCTCTTCTCCTATCTGAACCCTCATATTTTCAGGTAATGAAAACTTTTGCACATACTGCCAATGTTCAGAACATTTTATACATGGATCTACAACTTCGGCTGGTTGACCTCTCTTCACAGCTGGAAGTATTTGTCTAAAGTCTCCACCCATAAGAATAACTTTACCACCAAATGAAAACTTATTATTACAAATATCTTGTAATAACTTATCAATGGCACTCAAAGCATGTTTAGGAATCATAGACGCTTCATCAAGTAAATACAAACTTACTTGTCTAAAGAATTCACCATGAATAGAATTCGGAGTTACATTACATGTGCTAGTTTTCGAAAATGGCAGAGGAAGTTTGAATAAACGATGCAGTGTGCATCTATTTTTAAGAAGAGTTGCAGCTATTCCTGTCCATGCAGCTGTTGTAGTTCTAATATGTCTGATGCACGTTTCAGCAATTAAACAATTGTAAGTAAATGTTTTACCACAACCAGCAGGCCTATCCATAAAAAACAATCTCAAATGCTTATTTTCATTATTAGGTTGTTCATTAAATACAGCAAGGATTGCATCAGCTACATTACGCTGATTATCTTTTAATAATGGTTTAACTCGATTTGCTTCATCAGTAAATACCTGTACATCTTCATCGTCATTTTATTGGATAGAATCCAAAAAACTGATCTAAAGTAGGCCATTTATAACCAGCAAAAGTTTTATCACTCGGATTAATTATAGCTTCAATTTGACGAAAAGCTATTTGTTCAGCAAGTAGAACTGGCATTGAACGGTGTATGTAATCCTCCCCCATATAATCTTTAAAAGTATTCCATATGTGTAAAGGATCATCAAGTTGACATAATGTCAATATGAGGGAAAATAGTTGCATAATTTGTTTAAGCAATCCAGTTGCAACAGTCTCACTTAATGTATTTCTCCATTCAATGTCATATTGCAACAGACCTAACTGATAACAAGCGTTACGAAATGTATTAAAAACAGTACCATTCACAGTGCGCAAATTCTCGAAAGATATTGCAACTTTTACATGCAAAAGCAACAATCTAAGAAAAAATACTTAACTTATTAGATTGACTTTATACATTCGCAGTATCACCATATCACTACCTCTTTGTCCTACTTTCCATTTGCAATTTTTACCATCAAACACAAAGTGATATGGAATTTCAATATAAGAATATTGACGTGCTTCAAAATTTTCAGCATTTAATTTAAAGCAAGCAGTTAGGTGAGCGTCATGCTGTGCTGCACGAATAATAGCTACTTGTTCTTCTGCCTCGTTAAAATATACTATCTGATTATCAGGAAGGTGGAATTGAAGGCGAATAATGGTACGTGAAACTTCACTTATGGGATACTTATATATTCGCCAAAGAGCCTCTGGTGCAGAAACAAAGCGACACTCTAAATATGAGTTATTTTCATCATGGTGAACACTTTCATTAATTACCACATTAGCACAATCATGCCCCTTATAGATATACTTGTATAAATACTTAAATGACTTAATGGACATGCAAGCCTTAACATTATTATGGGCTTGGGATTTTTTTGATAACCAGGGGTTATAGGGTACAACCCATCAATTATCAACTTGGTTACTTTTTATAAAAACTACTCTACCATTATCTAAACGCCTATAGTGTAGATAGCCATTTAAAGTTGCAAGAGTATAAGGATTGAAATCTTTAGGAAAACTTATTGTGCAAATTCCATCTTTCATGCACGGTGAATTCAGATTTAAAACTCCGCATGGTCCATGAATCATACATGTTTTTACAATTTAAAAAAGTTCAGGATCAACAGTTTGATATGGAATTTCAGCTGATATTAAATTATCAATATCCTCTGCTGTTTCTAGCTTATCATTATTTACAAAGTGTAATAAAATATTTACGTGTGGCAAACCATGTTTTTTAACTCAATAACCTGTACATGAGTGATAACTTTGCCTAAAACACCTTTTTTAGAAATATCTTGTAAGAAGCATTTAAGTTTCATTTTTAAGACGCGACTAACTAAATCAGGTCTGTCACTTGCACATTCACCTAGATTTAAATTTTATGTAATTTCTCTCCATTTTAGTTTACAGGTAAAAGTAATAAAAAGATCTGGTTTGCCATATTTCTTTATAATTGCCATTGCATCCTCAAAATTTTCTTTTAAAGCTCTTGGGCTTCCAAAATATGAAGATGACAATACAACAATATGCTCTTACGTAATACGGTCTTACGTCACGATTATTTGCAAAGTTGTTTATTTGTTCATGTAATGTATCATATTGTTCACTTCTGAGTTTGCTTTGGTTATTTCTGATGAAGGCAAGGCGTTGTCCTTCAATCTTGAAATATGTACCAACAGCATATTGTTGAAAAAGCTTCCAACCATAAAATGTAGGGCTAAAGGTTTCTCTAACAGAAAGCCTATAATTGTAGTACTTAGACAAAGTAACATGATTTCTAATACATGTTGCTCTGTCTGGATTGTGTTCTATTTGATAATGTCATCCTGCATCACCTCTTGGAAAAAAAATCGGATATATCATTGGATCTAGATTAGCAGACATACTTGATATTTTTTTTAAGGCCTGATCTCGAAGGTGTATAAAACTTTTCTAGATGGAGGTGGAGTACCATCGTTTCCTACAAATACAATGGCAACTTCATCATGTGAAGGTTCTTTCATTTTGGCGACAATTAATTTCTTCACACCGAGCTTCATTTCTTAAATTTCGGCTAAATCTCCTGATTTCAGCTGTTAAGTAGGGAGTTTAGTCACGTGATTTTTTATCGCGGAAAAAAAGCTTTCGGTTTGATATTGAAAAACTTCGTCCAAAATACGAAGGAAATGATTTTATGTAGGTATCAAAGAATAAAAACCCACCGATGTAAATTAATTATATACATATATATATATATATATATACATATATATATATATATATATATATATATATATATATATATATATATATATATATATATATATATATATATATATATATATATATATATATATATATATATATATATATATATATATATATTGATGTATTATTTTTCAGAAAAGAACGTAAAACATTTATTTATGTGATTCAGACAGTTTTCTCTTGAATTGAAAAAGTTATTCTATTAAATTCTCTTAAATGACTCAATTTTGTGTAAATACCAGTAAATTAAGATAGTTCATCTGGAATCATGTGAAAATAGGTTCTGCAGCTATTTATTTGTTATGTACATAACTTTTTGATTTTTAAAAAAAAGTTTATATAGGGTGGATTTTTTGTTTTCTTTAAAGTGATTTTTAGAAATACCCCCGTTTTATTAGGCGCACTGCGCTTAACTAAGTGATAACTTTCTGCGGATTTCTTCGTTACTCTACCATTCAATATTCCATATGGAAAAAAAGGTCTGTTATTTTTATTGAACATTATTATTCAAACATTTTTGTAATGCTGATATTGATTTAGTATGACTTTGGTTGATATATCTAGCTGAACTTTTTTGAAAAGTACTTATTATTAAGAAGATCTATTAAATCATTTTCTGAAGACAGTAAATATAAACTAAATGTAAAATTAGAAACAAATTACTCCAGTGAAGTAATTTGTTTCTAATTTTATATTTAGGTAAAAATTTGTAGTAAGTAAATAAATAAAACTATTTATTTACTGATAAGTAGATAAAAAGATTAAAACTGTTGTTAATTAAATCATCTGTATATTTATCATTAAGTTTTATATTATTTTAACTTACCTGTAAGTTTTATATATAACATTGTATATATTATTTATGACTTACTTTCATTGTAACAGTGGATCTTAACATACCTAAATTGATATCAATAATCTTAAATAACTTTAAGGTTATTTATTTATCAAAACAATGATTATTTTGATAAATAAATAACCTTATAGTTCATTAAATTTTTTGATATCAATTTAGGCATGATGTTTAGATTGATTTAAATTTATATATTTTCTTGACTTGATTTATGAAAAAATAGTTTAGATAAAATGTTTAATGAAGAAATTTGTGATTGGTATTTAACGTTAAAAGATACCTCTAACAATGCATTATATTGTAAACTTTGCAGTAATTTTAATGTTCAGCTCCTCTGCTATGAAAAACAATTAGCTACAAAGATAAATAGATTAGTTGATAATATCAGAAAATTATAGAAACAACGCAAAAATAAAAAGTTGGATTTGTTATTAAGTGAAGCCTTTATTCCACCTGTGACAAATATTCCTAATAATACATCTATTAGTTCTGAAGTTTCTAAAGAAACAATCCTTATCAGTGAAAACAAAATGCTTAAAAAAGAAAATAAAAATTTAAAAAGGAAACTTGAATCAATGATGGATTTATAATTGGATTATTTTAAGCGTCTAAAGGATTTTGAAGATATGTCAAGCCATCTGCAAATACTTATTTCAAAAAACTCTTTAATTGAAAGTGAACTAAACAATGTTTAAAAAACTTTATTGTGAAAAAGAAGAAAAGCTCAATATTATTGAAAACAAATTAGAACTATTAAAGTCAAAAAAAATCATTTAAAGTTAGAAATTTGAATAAAAAAATAAAATATCGTAATACTCTGGAAATTAAAAAAAATAAAATAAATTCATTAAAAATTGAAACAAAGTATAAAATATCGCAATTGAAAAAAAAAAAAATAGAAGATATTACTTCAATTCATGAAAATTCTGATATAAATATTTCTGAATTAAAAATCGAAAAAATAAAGCTGCAACAAAAAGTGAGTCATTTAAAAAATATTTTGCAAAATAAAACCAACTATATTAATGACTGCAATATGAAAGATGATATAAGTTTAGAGGATGAAGTTGTTTTATTATGTAATAAGACAAACATTTTAAAAGAGGAGAATCAAGAACTTAAAAAATTGGTTTCTTTTCAAGGGGTAGTGAGGAAGCTGGTGTTGCATCATGGTTTAATTCTTTTCTTTCTTCTTGTAATGATAAATCTTTTTTTGTTCCACTTATTGGAAATCGTTTTAATATTTTATATTACAATGCAGCTGCCCTATACTATCATAAGAATGCTATAACTTAATTTCTTAATGCTTGGCCTAACCCTAATAATTTATTAAAAGCAATTAAAAAAGACATTACAAATCTTGTATTCATTGCTGAAGTTCATGCATTTGGTATTGTTGACAAGCTACTTACTGGTTTAATGTGGCGAACTATCGAATCACTTGATAGTATTTTATTTTTAAACCCCTACCTACTTTGCTGAAAAATTAGACTTTCATCTCTTTGTATGGATGCATCTTCTTTATTATTTGCTAATGGAAAAATTTCTGAGGATACTGATCTTCTTCATCAATATGTGGTTTACACCAAACTGTTTGAATGCACTCAAAATGATGAGTTTGATTCTTTAACTGTGCAATCACTTAAAATTATTTTCCATGCGATTATTGTTATTTTGGAACGTCAGTGTGCTGATCAGTTACCAGGCGGTAAATATTGGAATCCATCTAACTCAGTTTCTGAAGCTGCTTCTAATGTCCCTGTCACTAACAAAGCATCAGAAAGTGACTTTTTCATTTTGGATTTAATGGTTTGCACAAAACCCAATGCAAATGTTCAAACTATCCAGGCTTTGACAATGTGGCCTCAGAACCAAACATTAGAATGGCTCAATGGTAAAACAGATAAAGAAAGAAAAAAAATACTTGAATACTCAAGAACTAAAGCAATATTAATGAAAAGCAAATATGATGAAAGAAAAGAAGTTTTTAAAAAAGATAACGGTATGCACCTTCTAGCAAAGCAAGAAGAAAAAAATCGAGAAGAAATTAAATTACAACATAAAAAAGTTGCAGGTTGTAAGGATTTAATAAATTTAAATGTAAGGGCATAGATATCATTAGAGGAAGCAGAGGAAACCGTTTCTAATATAGAAGAGCCATTGAAATCAAAAGTACTCTTTGCTCAACTTAATTTTTATCGCATAATCTTAGATGTCGATTGTGACAAAAAACTTTTTTGCAAAACAAAGGTAGAAGGAAGCAAAAGAATAAACTTGTCTTCAGAGGAACTATATCAAAATCTTCTTATTGTTATTCAAGCAAATTTAATACCAAACAAACAATCTTTAACTAATATAAGTAATAATTTAAACCCTCGTACAATACGTGATGCAGCTGTTGAAAACAAAAAAAAAGAATTAATGGAAAAAATTCAGGATGCAAGACTAAACAAATTAATAGAGTAACAAAAAAAGCACTCCTTATCAAAATTTATTAACAATCCATCTGATTTTGTAGGTTTTTCTATACAACATCGTGTTGGAGAAAAAGATGCTAATGAAGTATATTGGGAACGTGCGCAAGTGGTTCAAATTGATCAATTAAACGGAAGACGAACTACATACCTTGTTAAGTATGATAACGAACCTGATGAAGTATGGTCATTTCCTTTATTAATTGATTTTGAAAAAGGTGATCTTATACTTTGTAGCTAGAATTGCAAGGTAATTTTATTTAATGTAAAATTAGAATAATGTTATAGTATATATTAATCTTATTTCTTTAATTGTTATGTTCCAATAAAGTGTTTTTACTTAATTTGAGTTCTGTGGTTTTTATCTTTATAAATAGTATGAATCATATCTGATATGTTTATCTGTACCAATTTTGTTTATTTGTTGTTGTTTATTTGCAGCTTAACTGCACATTATTATTATTAAAAAAAAAAATAAAAAAAAAAAGCTTATGAAAAAATACTATTACTTTTACTTATCAAGTAAAGGAAAGAACCCAGAAATGGAGCTAATTTAGGCTAATTTACTATTACTTTTACATGAACTGCCTATCAAGTAAAGGAAAGAATCCAGAAATGGAGGGCTAACCTTAGGCAACATCCTGGTAGGAAATCGGCTAGCGAATAGCTAGCGATATTCGTTACGATTAAGACAGAGATTGGGCCACGAGGGTTGCTAGCTTTATAAGCTAGCGATCCGCTAGCTAAACAAGCTAGCGAATAGCTAGTGATATTCGTTGCGATTAAGACAGCGATTTGGCCACGAGGATCGCTAGCTCTATAAGCTAACGATCCGCTAGCTAAACAAGCTAGCAAATAGGTAGCATTAAGTCGTTACAATTATGACAGTGATTTGGTCACGAGGATTGCTAGCTTTATAAGCTAGCGATCCGCTAGCTAAACAAGCTAGCTAATACCTAGCGAGGTGTCTTTATCGTAACAATAAAGACATCTCGTGGCCATATCGCTGTCTTTATCGTTACGATAAAGACAGCGATATGGCCACGACGATCGCTAGCTAGATAAGCTAGCGAATAGCTAGCACTAAGTCGTTACGATAAAGAAAGCGATTTGGCCACGAGGATCGCTTGCTTTATAAGCTAGCAATCCGTTAGCTAAACAAGTTACCGACAAGTCGTTACGATAAAGACAGCGGTATGGCCACGAGAATTGCTAGCTAAATAAGCTAGCGAATAGCTAGCATTAAGTCGTTATGACAATGACATCAATTTGGCTAGAAAATCTCGGCTAGGTTAGAAGATATGCTCAAAGAATCGCGTGCTATATTTTTCAGAGGAGAGAATTATAACCATTAAAATAAGATTGCATTTATAACAAATTAAAAACAAAATGTTAATACTTGTTTCCATAAAAAGCTTTAAATGTTAAAGCCATTATAAAATGTTAAAAGAAAAGTTATAGATTA